TATGGGTCTTTCATGGTGGTGTGGGCCTATCCCAGGAAAGGGAGGGGGAGGAGCCAGACATACCTGGGGCAGATATGAAGCCTCAAGTACAGCAAAGAAAAGTATCCATGACCCTTTGACTTCTTAATTCTATCCCTAGGGTCATATCCTAAACATGTTCTTACTCAGCTCTGTGAGGGCACAAATATAGAGATGTTCACCCCAGGGATATTTGGGGAGGGGGCACATTAGAGACCCTGAGTGTTCATCTTTAGGAGATTGTATAGATGTTACCCCACTGATGCTTCAGCTTCTAATTTTCTTTAATCAAACCTCCAGGATTTGAATTTATGCTCTGTGACCTTGAGCAAATTACTTCTCTCTGAGCCCATTTCCTCATCTATAAATTGGAAATTGTGAAAAAATTCTTCTTTGGAAGAGCTGTTCTGAGACTTTAGTGGGACAGTATGCGCTAAACACCTGACACATGGGGAAGCCCAGTAAATAATGGCCAGGAGCTAGGCTCATGCCTGTAATCCCAGCACTTTGAGGCTGAGGCGTGTGGATCTCTTGAGATCAGGAGTTCGAGACCAGCCTGGCCAACATGGTGAAACCCTGTCTCTACTAAAAATTCAAAAATTAGCTGGGTGTGATGGCAGGCGCCTGTAATCACAGCTACTCAGGAGGCTGAGGCAGGAGAATCACTTGAACCCAGGAGGCGGAGGTTGTAGTAAGCTGAGATCATGCCACCGCACTCCAGCCTGAGTGACAGAGCGAGACTCCATCTATAAATAAATAAATAAATAAATAAATAAATAAATGCCAGGAGTGGTGGCATTTGAAGCTTGCAAAAGGAATTGCAAATTCATTATTGTCTTGCGTGTTCCCCATCACAGCCTGTGGCTGCACCGGGGGAGTCTGCCCAATTTAATCTATGGCACATGGCTTGGGAAACTTCACTTCGTGGCTATGCCCCTCAACAACTGGGTGTTCTTGTGTGAAATCGCTAACTTTTATATTTTTTTGTAGAGACTAGGTCTCACTATGTGGCCTAGGATGGTCTTGAACTCCTGGGCTCAAGTGATCTTCCCACCTTGGCCTCCCAAAGTGTCGGGATTACAGGCATGAGCCTCCATGCCTGGCCAAACTCCAGAGTTCTTCATTTAATACACCTATAATGAGCCAGACATTAGTGCAGGGGTGTCCAACCTTTTGACTTCTCTGGCCACACTGGAAGCAGAATTGTCTTAGGCCATACATAAAATACACTAACAATATAGTTGATGAGTTGAAAAACACTGCAAAAAAAAAATCTCATAATGTTTTAAGAAAGTTTACAAATTTGTGTTGGGCCACATTCAAAGCTGTCCTGGGCCGTGGGTTGGACAAGCTTGCTCTAGTGAATAAGAAATGAAGTCCTGGCCCAATAGAGTTTACAGTCCAATGGAGGAGGGACATCATGAATAAGCATAGAGCATCTATCAGGCAGTGAGAATAAGAAAATAAAGCCAGGTAAGGTGTGGAGAATGCTGGAGTAGGGGTTGGGGAGGTGGTAAGGGCCGAAAATGAGGGAGACCTTCTGCAGGACTGAGAATAGTGTACAAGCAGCATGGCAGCAGATGCTGTTTCCCCTTGAAGGAGAAGCAGGCTGTGTTGTTAGATTGGAGTGAGAAAGCAGGGGGAACAGTGAACCAATGAATGAACGATCAAAAAGCATCCCTGCAGAATCACGTGGCTCACTGGAATACAGAATTTCAGAGGCCTTAGGCAATGCTGTGGAACATCCTGGTGAACGTGCTGTTGTAGACATTCTTTTGAAGACAGAATGTGTTGATATACCAGAGTCTCATCCTGCTGGGGTTATTCCCAACAGCTGGGCTTGAGCAGCTCACATAGGCCCCTCTCCTGGATCCTGGAATGTGCAGTTGGCATGTACTCAGGAAACCTGTAAGCACTGGCCATGAGCAAAAAGTCCAGATGCCATATCTTTTTTTTTTTTTTTTTTTTTTGAGACGGGAGTCTTGCTCTGTTGCCCAGGCTGGAGTGCAATGGTGCGATCCTGGCTCACTGCAACCTCTACCTCCTGGGTTCAAGAGATTCTCCTGTCTCATCCTCCCAAGTAGCTGGGATTATAGGTACCTGCCACCTGTAATGACAGTATTCTCTGTAATGCTCTATTTTAATTTTAATTAAAAGAAACTTTTTCAGAGATGAGTTCTCACTATGTTGTCAAGGCTGACTTTGAACTCCCTGGCTCAATCTTCTTAGCCTCCCAAGCAGCTGGAACTTTAGGTGGGCCATTGTGCCTGGCAGCAGTTTATCTTGTCCTGCTTCATGGATTGTAGCATCCAAGGGTACCTAGAACTGTTCACTCACATGCTGGGAGCACTGGCAGGGCATGGTGTCAGGGAGTGGCAGTGCTCTGGTGGCAGGACGCTCACCAGGTGGAGTGTTCTTTAACAGTGCAGTGTGTGTGTGTGTGTGTGTGTGTGTGTATTTTTTTTTTCTTTTTTAGACGGGGTTTCCCTCTTGTTGCCTAGGCTGGAGTGCAATGGTGCGATCTCGGCTCACTGCAACCTCTGCCTCCCGGGTTCAAGCGATTCTCCTGCCTCAGCCTCCCAAGTAGCTGGGATTACAGGCATATGCCACCATGCCCGGCTAATTTTGTATTTTTAGTAGAGACAGGGTTTCTCCATGTTGGTCAGGCTGGTCTTGAACTCCCGCCCTCAGGTGATCTGCCCGCCTCAGCCTCCCAAAGTGCTGGGATTACAGGCGTTAGCCACCATACCTGACAACAATGCAGAATTTAAAAAATGTAACAATGCAGAATAGTTAAGAGCAAATCTCCGTATCTGGTAAGAGTTAATGATCGTATCTCCAAGATCTTACATTTTGCTTTTATTTTTAAAAAACTTCTAAAAATCTTATACACTGGTATGTGTATCCATGAGTAGAGCTATATTATGCTTTCTTGTCTCATTACAGGATAAGTGAAATATGATGACTGCTAATAGTACATGTATTTCCATTCAAGTATATATCCTAACATAACCCAATATAACCACTTAATATATTCTCTAATACAATATATTAATTTTAAAGTAAAATGGTTCTGATCATTACTGGCCTCCTCTAAGAGTACATGACAAGTACTTAAGTAGTGGGTAGAACTGAAATTCCTTATCGTCTACAATTCCTGGAGCCCTGTGTGTGCAAGTCTTCAAAATTATGGTGATTTAAGTGCCACCCCACCCATTTTCCCAGCAGTCCTGCAACAGGAACATTTATTCCTGTTTCATAGTGTGGTCTGGTGGAACACAGCAGACAGTGTGGTCCCCAGAGCACTCACTGGCTACATGACCTTGGGTATCCCACCTCATTTTAAAAATGGGGCAGATAATCCTCAGGAGATTGCAAGAATCCGAAAAGCTGCTGCGCAGAGCAGCTTTGTATTATAAACACCAGGACGCTACCTACATGCTGCAGGTCCTAAACTAGTACAGGGCCAGGCAGCATACTGGGCCTGTGGCCACTGATGTTTGCAAGGCCTCATGGTCAATGGAGCTTCTGCGTCTGAGCAAACCAGGACAGATGTTCATTCAGAGCTCCAGGAAACGATCTGCTCTCTAGATGGCAGCTCAAAGGGCCCATTCACTCACATTCCACCCAACAGCATTCCTGGCCTCCGGTCACAGCCTCAGCCACGGAAGTTCTGCAGGGTTTGCCAGTCTGTGGGGGTGAGTGCCCTGACACCATGACCTGCCCACTGCTCCCAGAAAGAAAGAAGAGCTTGGAGTATGAGACTCCCCAGGTCTCCTGACCCTCTTCCTTCTTGGAATGAGACCCAGTGGTGCTCAGGGGTATTTCTGGTGTTGGCCACGGCCGGGCAACCACAGTGGGCTTACTTTAGGCACCCAAACCACAAAGCCCACCTCAGGAAGCCAAATTTCAACTCTGGCCCCTGGGACAAACTTCTAGCAACCAGGCCAGAGGCAAATGTCAGACAGGATAAGGGGTGACATCCCATCAATCAAGTTGAAAATGGGAGGGACCCAGCAGCTGGTAATAAAGCCATAAAACTGGGACTGACTCCGGGTGAGAGGGAGAGGCAGGGGTAGGCTGGTGACTAGAGAGCTGATTCTGTGACCTTGGGAAATAGTCTCACCCCTCTGAGCCCTGGAGATGACCTGATGGGGCAGCTAGGAGGGCCAAATGGAAGGACTGCAAATAAAAGGCACTGGGAATTCTCAGGGGCTACACACACGTGAGATCTTCCCAGTGAAATCAGCCTTAGCTTTAAAACCAGGAAATTGTTAGCAACAGGCTCTCACCTTCCTCCCTCAACACCCACAGCATCGCCTATCTCCCTGTGATAGTTTGATTCTAAAGATAACAGCCTGCCTTTACTCAGAAACCAAGACTGTGACGTGTTTTGCACACATTCTCTTTTCACTTTCAGTGTGTGACTATGGGCATGCAACTTATGTTCTCTGTGCCTCAGTTTACTCAAGTGTTAAACAGGAATACTCACATGAGGATTATGTGAGTTAAAATGGATAAAATGCTTAAAATAGTAAATTATTTAAATTTTATCCCTTGGCACATGACCTTAGTACAATTAAGTATCTGTTAAATACATTTTAAAGAAACCGCATCATATCCACACACCTATGAGGCACCTGCCCAGGACCACAGAGCCAATCAGGTGATGGGATTCCAGGCCAACAGGAAACTACCGCCCACTGACACAGGGACTGCACCATCTATCCTTGGTTTTCGTGGTGCCTGCCATGCTTCCTGTATTACTGTTAAATACAAGGGGCAGGCCTCTGCAGGATCCCAATATTTTAAAAGGGCAATACGAATATGATTCTAATACATAAAAAGTATGAGGGCAGCAAGAATTTAGTTACAAAGCCCAAAAATCCTGAGAGAGAAGCCACATGGCACTCTGCACTATTACCACTGCATCAAATCTGGGCAGGGCACAGGTGACCAAGGGACAAGTCTTATTTAACTGATTTCACAAGGGTCCAAGAGTTTTATTAGACAACCCATGTCAAGGTACAAAATGATTAATGACAATAACAGCCATATTCTATTAGCCAAGTGCCACTTGTCACTATGAAACTATCCTGTAGGACATCCCTGGGCTCTCAGTTGCTAATTGGCTGCTTGAAGAAATGAATGTCCTCAAATCAAGACCCTAACGCAAAGAGATTCCAGAGAGTGGCTTAGAAAGCCCAGTTACTCTTACCAAGGTGGGGAAAGGGTCAGGGGAATGAACCTCTGCAGAACAATTTGAATTCCCAAACTAAGTTAAGAGGGAAACAAATATGCAGGCAGGGTAAGGCCTCAGCGGGGCTCCTGGGTATGGGACAGGGGGTGGGAGACAGGAGAGGCAAAATGGCAGGGACTTGACAGCAGGTTCCTCTTGTCTACTTCTTCCTCCCGCCTCTCTCCTTGAGGGCCAGGTGGATGACTGCGCCATTGGCCATGTTGTAGTAGGCCAGTGAGTTGGAATCTTTGATGAAGATACCCTGGAAAACAGAGAGCATGCCTTAGCATGGGGCAACCCAGCCTTGGGCATACCGCTGCAACCTTTCAACTGTGCACCTGGTCCGTTTGCGCTCTGGACTTAGCAAATACAGGAGCTTGAGAGAAGGTAAGGTGTTGGGAATTAGAGGCCTCTCATTCCTCCCGTTTCCTTTCTTCCCACCAATTACGCTCCTCCCCTTTGTCAACATTTGACTCAAAAGCTCAACTCCCCAAAAAGTTGGCCCTGACCAACTCCATGGAGCACTGACTCTGAAATCACAAGATCTTTAGGGATCACTTAGCCCAACAGCCTCAATGTATAGAGATAATTGAGGCCCACAGCGGGGATTTGTTCAAGTTCAGAGAGGAAGAACATAACACCTCCGTGTGACCTGGCATCAGGTGGGGTTACACTATCACCTCCAAGTCAGGCCGCCTGAGGTCGCACCGGCAGGGATGGCCCAACCACTGGATCAGGAACCCACCAGAGCATACCTAAGTCTAGTCCCTAAATCTCTATGCCCCGTCATTGAGGCAAAGAATCTTACAGATCCCACACAAAACTCTATTGTGACCCCACCAGAGCCCTGCATTGTTGGGCACACCTGCCCCAGCACTCCCAGCCACCATCATGACTTCTATTACGGATTCAGATGGCCACACCCAGATATCACTTCACTCCCCTTTTGGCTTCCATGAGAGATTTAGCTTCTGTGAAAGCAGAAGTGTCAGGACCCAAGGGGCAGGTCTGTGGACAAACTGACTCACCTCATACTGTAGCTTCTGTTTCCCTGCAGGCATGCCTGTGGCTTCATGAATCTTCACCTTAATGACAGAGACCTGTGGGATCAAGCAGCAGTCATTCAACTCCTTGGTAAGGCCAGCTAGAGGAAGCTTTCCCCTGACTGCTTGGTTCCCATGCACCCGATGCCAGTTTGTGGCAGCAACCCATACCTGGTCCGTGAGCGGGAGAGTGAAGACCAGCACCTGCCCATTCAGTTTCCATTCTGTCTTATCCTGCATGTTGGGCACCTGGACTTTGATGGACACTGGACCCTATAAAACAGGAGGTGTTCATTATGCCAAGAGAGCCCTGAGCCAATAAAGAACTATCCTCTGCTATCCCGAGACCCGTCCAGACAATGTCAACCGTGCATCTGGGCTCCTGGACTCTGGCCTGATTCACCACTGATACCACTTGTACGGTTGTACAAGTCACTCCCCCCTTGCAAGATTAGGTTTCTTTTCTTTAAAAAAATCTCTATCTTGTTTCCTGCTGAGTCTGGAGCTAAAGTGAAGAACTTTGGTGAAAATACTCTGCACATCCCAAGGGAAAAGAATATGACCTGCAGGGTCAGAAGACCTGGATTCCCAATTCAGCTTCCCAGCTAACAAGGTCTGTCTGAGCCTCAATGTCATTATCCATCAGAGAGGATTAATGACTGTTTTGAGTATTGAGTGGAAGTATCTGTAAAGTACTTAGCTCTTTCCTGGTACTTGAGTTAAGCATTTAAGAAATGGGAACTATTATTAAAAAACAAACAAGCAGGGTGGGCGCGGTGGCTCACGCCTGTAATCCCAGCACTTTGGGAGGCCAAGATGGCGGATCACTTATGGCCAGGTGACAAGCCTGGCCAACGTGGCAAAATCCCCTCTCTACTAAAATACTAAAAATACAAAAAGTAGCTGGGTGTGTGATGCACACCTGTAATCCCAGCTACTCGGGAGGCTGAGTTATAAGAATCACTTGAACCCGGGAGGCAGAGGTTGCGGGGGAAAAACAAACAAACAAATAATTTGGTCAAAGACATTGGGGGAGCAGAAGCTGGGGCTGTTTCTGTATCCTCACTGCAGCCTGAAAGCTTCTCTAGGGACTGGCAGTGACAAGGTCCCCACCTCCCCTTATTGCAGGACCCCAACAGGATCCCACCCAACAGGCAGACCTCCTAAGGGCTAGAGCTGGGGAGGAAGGCCACAGTAAATTTTAAAACACCACACACAATTTCCTCCAGGGGTCTAGGGTCCCTCTCACACCTGAGTTGTGGTCTGTGCAGCTGGGTCTCCCTGTTGGCCTGTTAAGTCTACACCAGAGGGACCACCACAGTTACCACCTCTGCCACCACCACCATCACCATCACCACCAATGCTCTCTGCTCCTCTAATTTTTGACATTCACGGTGTGCTCAGAAGCCCTTAGATGCCTCCAGCGGCTGACCTACGCCCCAGAAGCCAAGACTGGGAGTAAAATAGGGTCAGTCTGGGAAGTGTACGACAGGGGCGGGGCTGAACCCTCCAGCTAGAAACTTGAGCAGCATTCTGGGATCACATACCTTGTTTCTGCGCAGGAACTCCTCCTCTGGCATGAGGCTGTCCTCTGTCTTCAGTTTTTTGGAGGTAGGCTCATCTTCCATGGGAGGTGGGGGATGAACAGGGGGCATTGGGGCTGGAGCTGGGACAGGTGCCACAGGTGGAGCAGGCACAAAGGCTGCAAAGACAAGAATAAGCAGCCCCATGAGAGGGCAGAATGAGCCCAGGACTCAGGGCTGATGAGAAGTTGAGAGAGGAGGTTGCAAAGGTTTCGTCTAGTCAGAGGTGTGAAGTGCTGTTCCCTGCTGAGTCTGGCAGCCAGCAGGTTCCCCAGCAGGGGGACCTGCGAGGCTGCCCAGACTGGATAGCAGAGGACTGCAGGAGGGGCAGGACTGACGGATGGAGCTAGTGCCAGGCAACAAGCAACTCTCAGGCCTCTGAGCCTGTTAGGGACCTGATCCCTGAATGCAGACACCGGCTACATCATTTCAGCCTCCCATTTCTACCAGGAATGGTGGCTCCCAGCTCTAGGGTTGCGGATCTTTCACACAGGAAGCCAGGGCCTCTCCTCTGGGCTGGACACCATCATTTCAGCCTCCCATTTCTACCAGGAATGGTGGCTCCCAGCTCTTAGGGTTGGGTGGATCTTCACACACAGGAAGCCAGGGCCTCCCTCTGGGCTGACACCCTGCTGGAACAGCTGGCACTAGCATCAGCCACAGCTCTGTTGACAGTACTTGGCCTGTGGTCCCTGACCCTTTCACACAGGAAGCCAGGGCCTCCTCTGGCTGACACCCTGCTGGAACAGCTGGCACTCAGCATCAGCCACAGCTCTGTTGACAGTACTTGGCCTGTGGTCCCTGACCTAATGGCCTGGAAAGTGATGCAAGAGATACTGACCTGTTGGCACAATCATAGGGGGTGGGCGGGGGGCCATGATAGGAGGGGCCGAGGGAGGCATGGGCACCACGTTGATTCTGGGCGCGTGGATGATGGGCGGCATGGGGGCGATCACTGAGCCTGGGGGCAGCCGAACCACAGATGCCATTGGGGGCCGGGGCATGACAGGTACTGCAGAGACAACTGTAGTACGAACTGGAGGTGGCATCTGTGCAGGAAAGAGACCCACAAGTTACAGGAAGCCAAAGTTGGACTCCAAGGGCACACACAGTTGGCAACTGGCCGCCTGCAGCTCTGAGGATGAAGGTTAGACAGTTCCGTCCTGGCCCCCTGGGACTGAGAAACTGTGGCCTCACACTGGGCGTCCAACAGGAACTGAGCTACTGAGAGCCCGAGAATGACACTCTCTCTACTTGGGACTTGGCAGGTCAAATTTGACCAGCTACTTTGGCAATCACTGAAAGAGTCACTAAAGAGGCTGAGACCTTGGCTGGGCACAGTGGCTCATGCCTACAATCTCAGCAGTTTGGAAGGCTGAGGTGGGCGAGTCACCGGAGATCAGGAGTTCGAGACCAGTCTGATCAACATGGAGAAACCCTGTCTCTACTAAAAATACAAAATTAGCTGGGCGTGGTGACGCATGCCTGTAATCCCAGCTACTTGGGAGGCTGAGGCAGGAGAATCACTTGAACTCGGGAGACAGAGGTTGCGGTGAGCCGAGATCGTGCCACTGCACTCCAGCCTGGGCGACAAGAGCGAAGCTCTGTCTCAGAAAAAAAAAAAAAAAAAAAAAAAAAAATAGGGAGAGGAGCTGAGACCTTGACTAAATCTCCTGGAGACAGGCCAGCAGTCCTCACAGACCCAATAAGACCTGCAGCCCTTCTCTGACGCTAACTGGTTTCTCACATTTGCCTCTCACCTCCCTCCTTGTTCCAACCCTCCTCCACAAACAGATTAAGCTAGAGGTTCCCACTTGCATTTAAAGGGCTCTTTCTCTTTCAAACTGACCCACCCCACACTGTAAGGCAGTTGCCCGTCTCAGCCAACACTGTCCGACTCAAGAACAAAGCTCTAAAAAGTCAGCTGCAGGGTAGATGCTGGCTTACTGTGGGTGGTCGGGGCACTGAAGTGATGGGTGGGGCCGAGCTGGGGATGTTGGTGGCTGAAGATGGCGGCGGTGGCTGTTGAGGGATTTCATTGGGCTTGCTGGGGCCAATCTTCTCTTTGGTGTCATCCTCTGGCACCAGGCCTTTGGCTTTGTGAATGGCCTCAATCTGCTCCTGGAGGGTGATGTTGGCCTGGGCAGCCTGCTGGGTCCGGGCCATGCTGCCTGAGTGGCCATCCCAGGTCACCTGCAAGTGAAAGCAAAGCCACAATGCTCCTGGAACTAAGCCCAAGTGTGAAAGACGGGGGGGCAGAGAAGACACTAGGTTCCACTTTAGCCGCACCTTTTCCTCTGGCTTCTGAATCTCCTCCTCACCGATCTTCTTACCAATGGCTGTTTCCTCTACACCGAAGATGTCAGTACGCCGCTCAGCCAACTGCTTCAAGCTGCTCTCAATATCCAGACCTGTACAGTCACAAAACAGAGGTAGAGGAAACAGAAAATAAACCAGGTGTCCTGATAAGAGAGCAGTTTTTCTGGTGTGCAGGGAGGAGGCCGGTTCCATGGAATGAGGGTGACTCAGGGTCCCAACACAGCACTCTTGTCCTCTGGGCTCGGGGAAAGCTACCCAATCAGTACTAAGCCTACAAACCCAGTGCTTGTGCAACCCCTCTGACTTAGAAAAGAACAGTAGGCCGGGCAAGGTGGCTCATGCTTATAATCCCAGCACTTTGGGAGGCCAAGGCAGGAGGATCACACCTGAGGTCAGGAATTCGAGACCAGCATGGCCAACATGGTGAAACCCCATCTCTACTGAAAATACAAAAATTATCTGGGTATGGTGGTGCGTGCCTGTAATTCCAGCTACTTGGGAAGCTGAGGCAGGAGAACTGCTTAAACGTGGGAGGCAGAGGTTGTAGTAGCCAACATGGCACCACTGCACTTCAGCCTGGGAGACAGAGTAAAACTCCTTCATTCATAAAATAAATAAATAAAATAAATAAATAAATAAATAAATAAGATGGTGAGTCAGAGAGGGCAACTGTGTGGAAAGGGCCACATGATGTAAGTGGCAGAGTCAAAACTAGAAGTGCAGTCTCCCACCTCTGGCACAGTCCCTGCCCCATTCCAAGCAGCTCAGGGTACTCCAGCCATCAGTGCTTTCCTTCTAAACAGCCACAGGAAGCCCTCCCAGCTAAAGCCAGAGCTTTCTCTGGGATTTTAACAGGCACATGTCCTCTCCTTCAGTGTCTGCCTTTGGGGAATTTCTATGGGGAGTCCTCTGGAAAGTGGGGAGTTCTCTTGCAATATCATAGGGTGCAACTCTCCTCAAAAGCTTCTGTTGACCTCTTTTGCTTAGAAGAAGTTGACTGTAATTTGGAGATCATCATGGGCTCTCCTGGAACCCTCACCTCACCTGGTGCGTACACCTCGTCATCACTCTGCTTCTCACGGATGGAGCGATCCCGCTGCTCCAGCCAGCGAGGGTCAAGAAGTCCAATGCGCATGTGTTCTTGCATTTTGCTGGCAGGGATCTTCTCACCAGTAATGGGGGACACAAGATACTCATCTGGAGCAGGGGCTGGAGGCAAGGGCTTGGAGGCTAAAAGGAAACAGATGTTTCAGTAAGAACACTGATGGGCAGCCACCTGAGTCAAGAGGGTGGTATTTCATTCATGCATCATTCATCAAGGCATCTATTCAGTGCCACTCTTGTACCTGGCATTGTGAAAGGAACTAGGGCACCAGAAATGACTGGGCCCTGTTCCCCACCATGAAACCTGTAACAGATGGGCTTGCAATGCTTTTACAATAAGCTGCACCTCAAGCCCTCCTAGAAAGACGGGTGTGAGGAACACACAAGGGCACACAGGATCTTCCTGGGCAGTCCGAGGGTTGGGAAGCAGGCCCTACCTTTGGGATCATAGTCTTTGCGGACAATGACTTGGTCTGGAGTTGGGGGCAGAGGTGGAGGCATGGGCGTCTCTGGGGGTGGGGGTACTTTCTGCCCTTCTTCTTCATCATCTGAACCCTGAAAAGCAAAGCAATGGCAGGACTCAAAGAGGGGCTGAGGCCACATCCCTGTAGCTGAGCCTGGCAGCTCTCTGGGTGGCAAGGAGCCTTGGCCTCTGCCAGCCAGCATCCATGTGCTAAGCCTCCCAGGGCAGCTGAGGCCAGCCGGCAGCAGGCCAACCTGCTTCCTCACAGCATGAATGGGAGCGCTGGGGCCATGCTCCTAGCACTCCTCCCAGGCATTTCCAGCAGCTGGCACCAGGCAGTCCCAAGAGGCCAAGGGCACTTAACATGCTGGGGGGGCAGTGCTGGAGGAGTGGCAGAGGGGGGCAAGTGGGCAATCAATGGTAGCCGCTCACACAGCAATGCTGGGAGGGAGAGAAAAAGTCATTTCCCACAGACAGGGGCCCTTTCTTCTCAGGCTGTGCACAAATTCTTTCCGAGAGGGGGAGAACAGTCTGGTTCTGGAGACTCCATGCCTGCCTGGAGGGCCTGGCTTGAAGGGGGTAGGGATGCCTGAAAGGAAGTGTGGGCTACATTTAGAAAAGCTCTGGGAGCTTGGAGCCCAGCTGAGAGCTCAAAACAGAATAGGGTAATGCAGTGAGTTCCCTAACTGAGGGCTGGCACGAGGCAGTGAGAGCAGAGTGTCCGGGCCAGGGAGAAGGCCACAGAACAGGTCAGGACAGCTTTTAGATCCTTGCCTATGAATGAATCTTTGTTGCCGGAGCTGGAAAGAGGCTCTGTACTGCCTGGGTTTGGGCAGCTGTATGGCCTTTTTCAGGACCCACGCCTCCTTTCAAGGCTCACCAGGGAGCTGGATCTGACTGGTGGAGAGCACTTCAATCTCCTGGGGCTTCAGGAGAAAAGGTCATCCCGCAGGCCCGCCCAGCAGTTTACCTCATCCATGTCTTGTACTTGGGTGTCCTGGTCCAGCTGGGAAGGAGGTTCCTCTGCCTTCTCCTGTTTGTCATCCTCCTCATCAGACTCAACCTCCATCTCAACTTCCTCACTCTCCCCAAACTTCTCATAGCGCTCCTGAATGAGGATTCGGGCCCCCAGCTCCTCTGGCGTGGTAGGGGGAGGGAAGTTCCCTAGAGGGTGAGCCAGAGGCAAAGGTATTCCTTATCAAAGACCCATCTATTTGCCCTGTCTGAGCTTCCCAAGGGCTGAGGCTATGTCTGTTTTCTCTCCAGCCATCTTCAGAGGCCCATCTAGGGTCTGGCAAGTAGCTACTGAATCTAACTTGGGCAAAGCGGTAGAACCAAAGTCTTTTGGGAGCAGGGAAGAAACAGACACTGATAAAAGCCCTCTGAGAGATTCTGCTGCTCTCTAGGAACGCTTGCACAAGGCCTCCTGGGAAGTCTCAGAGTTCGTGGCTCCCCATCTGGAGTCACTCCTCACAGACCTACCTTGCTCATTGGGTTGGAAGTCCACTGTTTCCACCACCACAAAATCATGCCAGTCAATCTGAGCATAGGCCACCCGCTCCTTCTCCTTCTCCTCTTCTTCCTTCTTCCTCTCACGTTCCTGGAATTTGGCCCATTCCACTCGGTAACACACCTACAGAGATGGGAAACAGCTCGGTGCTAAGCTGAAGCAGGGTCTGCTCCTGATGAGGCTACCACCTCCAGGGCTTTCATCAAAGCCAGCGCCTCCTTCAAAACAGAATGGAAGTATGGTTCCAAACTATGGCATTTGCACCGGGTTCCACCCAGGCACAGAGTTCGGACAGAATGAAACCTCCACCCTCTGATCTGCTTGGCAGCTGGCCTTCTGCCTTCTAGTTAGACTGGAAAAGAGGGAGACATATTGAAGCTGAGAGCAAAGCAGAAAGTTGTGGTATGTTGGGAAGCATCCGGACTCCAGGTTTCTTTGGCCTTTGTATCTAACAAAGCCTTTTCTCCCACCATTCCTGTGATCGGAACATAACAAGGTCCTGCCTCAGGGACTGTTTTCAAACATAAAACAGAACCCAACATCAGTAACTGATTGCAAGAAATCCTATTCAGTTTACCTGATCCAAAACTTCTCGGGGGTTTTCAGCCTCTTTCTTGAGCTTTGAAAATAAACCTTTGGGTGGAATCAAGATCTGAAATACAGAAGAGTTAAAGCTACTGTCAGTGCTTTACAATGCGGTACAAAGAGGCAACCTTCCTGGGCCTGTGATAAAGCACAGGAGATGAGGAAGCATGGGATTCTGTGTCCCAATCCCAGCTCCACTTGGCTGTGGGACTTTGGGCAAGTTATGTCACCTCAGTAACTTGATTTCCTTCTCCAAAATAATGGCACCACCACTCAAAGTTGGCACCATGAACTTAAAAAGGCTGCTTCAAGGATTAGCAGGAAAGCATGCAAAGCACTAGCAGATTACCCAGAACATGGTCAGTACGAGATGGCTACTTTCATGAGACTGACCTGCTCTTATCCTTTCGAAAACACTGCACAGGTCTCCCCTGACTATCCTATTCAGAACCGCAGTCTACCTGCCCCACCTCCCTCTATTTCTGCCCCCTGCTTGCTTTCTCTCCATAGCATTCAGCACCATGTGACAGACACTAACAATGCACCTGACTCCTCCTCACTAGACTAGAAACTCCACCAAGACAGGGATTTCTCTTCTGTTCACGATTACATCTCCAGTCCCCTGAATAATGTCTGACAATGAATATTTACTGAGAGAACAAATGTTGCCTTTGTTCTAAAGGGCCCAAAAAGCTTCTACTGCCACTGGCAAAGTGGCTCAGCCCTATCCCAGTCCCTCCTTATACCTTTACCCCAAGAATCTATCTGCTCAGTCTTCCATGGCTAGAAACAGACACCAGTACCCTCAAGTTACAGTGGTAAATGCCAATACCCAAGTTCTGAAGAAGAAAAAACAGGAAAGTAACAGAATAAAAAGTCATCTGGGACCTTTAACCCTGGAAGCAGTCCACTGGCAGAAATTAATCCAGGGCTCCTTTAAAATTGATATTGCATATTTATAGTAACTCTTTGGCCTTGGGCCTTCAATGATCGTTATTTAAGCTACCATACTAGCTTCTGGATTTGGTCATTTTTTAAACACACACATTTTTACAATTCTAATTATATATTTAAAAGTGAGTGAAGTTAGGAAATTCTCAAGTCCTTTCAAGTCAGATCTTTGAGGTGTTGTTTCTGGATATGAAGAACAGATGTACAGACCATCCCACTGAAAACAGAAGGAAAACAACCTCCATGATATGTGTGGCAAGAAAAATGTGCCACAGGCAAAGCTATACCAGTACACTTTGCAATACATTAATAATCTAATTACTTTAAATGCCAGAACTGACTTGTCTAGATTCTTGATTGCAGCTCTGTCACATGATAACCAAGCTCTTAGAGTCTGGAGTAAAAATGCCAGAGCTCAAGCCCCGGCCCTGCCACCTCCTAGCTATGTGTCCCTGGCCATGTTAACTTCACTGCACCTGTTTTCTCTTCTGTAAAGTGAACATAATCAGAGTGGTTACCTTATAGGCTACTGGAGATTAAATGAGAAGATGCTGCACACATAATTTCTTAGTGATGTTAGTTATACTGACTTATATCACATCAAAGCGTCTCTCAACGCCTATTTAAATGCTATTTCCAATTTAAGGCACTTTATAAGCTGAAGAACCAAAGTTTTAGGGTCAAATGTGGTTTAAACCTCAGCATAGCTACTTACTAACTGACAAACCTTGAGTACGTGACTTCACCTTTCTGAGCCCATTTCTGCTTCTGAAAGATGGGGGGAAAACACCTCATGGCTTCTTGTGAGGACTAAATTAGGTAAAAGGAGGCAACTGTTAAAGGCTGACTTCTTCTCAGGGCCTTACTAGGCAACTGAAAATGGAAACGTACTTAAAAGCAGCAAGCACCACTTGGCCTTGTCACATAGCAGGCAATCGCCTAATGGTAGTTAGCAAGCATGTACTTCCCTTCTCTTTAGAAACAAGCAGTCTGTGTTGCACTGAAAGAAATAACTGAATAGAAATCAAGGTTTTTACATTAAACTGGGATTCAAAACATGTGCTCAGAGGCCCCATGGAGAAGCGATGTCCTTGCAGACAGTGAGTGGACACAGTGATTCCAAGGGTAAGATGTTTTCCTTTCCTGGGCCCAGGACCCCAGCCCCATCCTACCCAGGCACCTTGGTGTACTGCTCCACTAGCTTCGTGAAGTAGTTAAAGAGGCTGTGCTGTGGGCGGAGAAAGTCAAACTGGTAGTTGCGCTGCTCTTTCTGCATCAGCTGGGTCAGAAACTGGCGCCCATTCCTGGCCACAAACTGAGCCGTCAGCTTCACCACATCCAGGTCGAAGGCTGAGATGGAGGGGGGATCAGCAATAAACTCAAACTCAGGAGGAGGTTCTTTGGGCACGATGGTCTCTTGGATTACTTGGGCTTGGACCTAAGATGCAAAGGGAGTATGAGGCAAGAGGCATAGGAGTGAACAGGCTCCAGGGGAGGGGAGGGGACATGGGTATACCCCTCAACAGGATGCTGTGAACCTCTAGACTTCTGTTAATTATGCACACACCACTAGCACTTGGTGTGAGAGAATTCTAAATCACAAGAGCACTGATTTCCCAGCCAACTATGGCCTCAACTCCCTGAATGGCTCTGAGTGAGAACCATTCCCCTCTGTACCTCTGCTCCTGCCTTGAAATTGAGGGCCAAAACTGGGTGACAGAAGATCCAACAGGAATATGGCTTATTAAATCCCATCCCAGAGGGACGGAAGTGCAGAAGGCCTACGTGTGTGCAGAAAACCCCACTGTACAAAATGTTTCCATGACCTCTGCATGAATCGTGAGGTAAAACAGGTACTGTGAATCCTCTTTATAGAAGAAGAAACTGAGGTAGCCTGAGGCTCTAGGAGTAGTACACTACAATGTAAGGTCTTAGAACCTGACCTCAACCTTTATATCCCACTGCAAAAGGAGGAGCTGCCTTTTCCACCATGGTTCAGGAGTACAGAAGGCAGGTCTGGACAGGAGGAATAACATGTCAGCCTCTCTCTTCATTCATAACCCTAATAGTCCCTAGTGCTGGGCCTCAGTACAGGGAAGTAGTATTAGGGGAGGCCAGATAGAAGGGTCCTGGGAAGAAAAGACAGAAGGGAAGGGAGAGCATAAGGAGGAGCCCACAGGCCACACTGCATCCTTCAGCACAGCCAAGTAGGAAGCCCTTCACCCATCATGGCACTGCCCTCACACCCTGAGCAAGGCCTTGAGTAAATCACACTTCCCCCGACTCTCAGATTCCTCATACAGCCTCTGTGAGGGGTCAATGAGACAAGACTCCTGAAGTTATAAGCACAGAGTCTGACAAGCAGTGCTTGGGAAATGCCAACTAACATCAGTACTTTGCTGTCTGGGTCTCAGTCTGCCTCTGAGAGATGGGAATAACAACCTTACTTCTCTCCCTGGGTGGTTGTGAGGTTTAGAGTTATTTGTGTACCCCCTCCCTATCCCTGCTTCCCTCTCAAGCCCTGCGTAAGTGAAGGGGGCACTGGGCTCCAAACCTTCTGGGGCAGCTGCTGTTGGGTGGCCTGCTGCTGCTGCTGCATGACCTTGGGGATGGCAGCTGACGGCTCCTGAGCCTTCCCCTCCTTGAACTCGCTGACCTTGTGGCGGTAATAGGCATGGTAAGGGTCATTGGGGTTCAGAAAGTTGAACTTGGGGTTGTTGATCTCGTTCTGTCGGATCCTAGCTTCAAATTCAGGCCCATTTCTAGACGGAGAAAAAACAGCAAGAATAAACACCACATCCCTTGTGCCTGCTGAGATCTAGGACACTGCCCATTGGAACGTCCTTTTTGCCACCACCCACTGCTCAAACCAGTCCAGCCCTCAGCACAGCAGATGTCCTCCTCCAGCCTCGTGGCATCGGCGATCAGTGCCATGTGCCTCATTCAGCTCGAACCAGGCCACCTCTACCACGGGGTCTCCCTGAACCCAGTCATTCCTTAGCTCCTTTTCCAGTTCTGCCATTTCCAAAACCACCTAGGCTATCGCTCATTTATTTTAAGTGAATATGATGAAAACAAAGTAACACTGTCAAAGTTTAGCTGGAAGTTTGCTGAGATTAGTTCTCTTAGTTCAAAGGGGTAGCAAGTGCTGGAGAGGCGTAAAAGGTACGTGAACACCAAACCTAGACTTTGCCCTCTGAGTAACGAGAAAGACTGAAAGACATGAAAATTTAGTTGATTTGAGCCTGGGCAACCAGAAAAGAGCCTAACTCCACAAACAATTTTAAAAATAAATTAGCTGGGCATGGTGGCTTGTGCCTCTAGTCCCAGCTACTCAGAAGGCTGAGGTGGGAGGATCACTTGTGTCCAGGAGTCTGAGCCTGCAGTGAGCTAGAACCGTGTCACTGTACTCCAGCCTGGAAAACAGAGTGAGACCCTGTCTTTTGTTTTTAAGAAACAAAAACAAAAACAAAACAAATTAGTTGGTTTAATGCCTTGTCCAAGTACTGCCTAAAACCACCCCAATTATACTGGTGAGGCCCACACAGGAAACATGCTCAGCAAGGACCCAGCCTCGTACAGCTGTATAAGGCACCTTCAGATGACAGGGGTGTGGTAAGATCAGCAGGGAGGTCTCCAACCACTGTCTGTACTTGGGATGGTTCCCCAGATATGCCCCATGTCCCCAGCAAGCCTTCAAAACCTCAGGATAATGACAAAATGTCCCTGTAATGATATTTAGGGAAACCTGATTTTTAAAATGTCCCAACAGTAATACTTCAACACCTGTGTCAGTCAGAAAATACACGGACCTTAAAGACACAAGATATGAACACATTCAAGTTGCATGTTCACTACTGACTCACTCTGACCCAGAGCAAGTTACCAAACTACTCTTTGATTCCATTTCCCCATGTGTAAAAAGCAGCTAACACCAGCTTCCCTTTCTACCTTAAAACATTATTGAGGAGATGCCAAAGTCTTCTTTTTGTTTTAGAGACAGGGTCTCACTCTGTCACCCAGGCTGGAGTGCAGTAGTACAATCTCAGCTCACTGCAACCTCCACCTCCTGGGCTCAAGGGATCCTCCCACCTCACCCTCCTGACCAGCTGGGACTACAGGCATGCACCACCATGCCCGGCTAATCTGTTTTATATTTTGTAGAGATGGCGTTTCGCCATGTTGCTCAGGCTGGTCTCGAACTCCTGCGCTCAAGTGATACACTTGCCTTGGCCTCCCAAAGTGATAGGATTACAGGCATGAGCCACTGAACCCAGCCCTTAAAGTCTTTTCAAATCATACAGTAGCCTGCAAATGCAAGGGGCTAGGAGGGGTTGTTCCATAAACATCGTCTGTGGGGCCTTCCATTGCTCCTCTGGTGAGAACCTTGTACTTAGAACTGCCCCAAACACACCAAGGCATGGCCCCAGCATCTATCTGGTGCCAGCCAGCCGGCTCTACTCTCTTCTGACTTTCACATCCCTGGCCTGTGAGTTTAAGAGGGGGTGGGAGCCTGGCACAGTGGCACACACTTGTAGTCCCAGCTACTCAGGAGGCTGAGGCGAGAGGATCACTTGAGTCCAGAAGATCATATCCAAGCCTGGACAACAAAATGAAATTTCATCTCTTAAAAAAAAAAAAAGGTTTTCTTTAATTTTAAGAGAGACGCAGTACTGTACCCCAGATCAAGCAGTACAGCAATATGTGCCACACTAGTGATCAACACCCAGGCTGGCTCCTCAGCAAGTCCTGGTCATACCCTGCCGTGTGACTAACATCATGAGGTCTCAATTTGACAGTACATTAGTCTAACTGGAACCTCATGCTTTGAAAAAAAAATTCTCCCTACTCCTTAAATAATGCAAACCACACATAAGAATGAAGGTGAATGCACACTTAAATCCTGCTCAACTAGGCCACTATACCCAGCAAATGCCTCAGGCAGACAAAGGGCTCCTGGAAAAGGGGGGCCTGGTTGTCTCCTGTACCACTACCTAGGCCATAACTTTACCCCATCCGGGAACAATCTGAAAGATAAAACAATGAGAAGGCTTGGCATGTTCATTCCAAACTATTCTGTTGCTTTAAATTAGCTTAACGTTAATTTTAGAATCATACTCTCCACCAGAAGGAATAGATTTCAACAGAAAAAAACATGATTCTGACTCAACCCAGCTGCTGTGACTTTTTAAGGGTAATTTCCACTTTAGTTTCTTGCAGGAACATGCAGGAAACGAAAGGCCTAACCTAGTGAAAAAACTTTTGGAAAACTGCTCAGTTGTAGATTTCTACTGCATGCTCCATAAATACACATGAACCTAGGAGAAGTGAACACAGAGTTCTGCATGTCTGCTTTAACTCGGATATTGGTCTCTTTGTTGCAATGTAAACCATAAGTTCACAGACTTTGTTTATTTACTTTTGAGGCGGAGTCTCATTCTGTCACCCAGGCTGGAGTGTAGTGGCACCATCTTGGCTCACTATAACCTCTGCCTCCCGGGTTGAGGTAATTCTCCTGCCTCAGTCTTCCAAGTAGCTGAGACTACAGGCGCCCGCCACCACACCCAGCTAGTTTTTGTATTTTTAGTAGAGACGAGGTTTCACTATGTTGGCCAGGCTGGTCTCGAACTCCTGACCTCAGGTGATCTGCCCGCCTCAGTTTCTCGAAGTGCTGGGATTACAGGTGTAAGCCACCACACTGGCTCACAGATTTCAGAAATGCCTACAAAAGCAATCACCATAGCTAAAAATCAATCTAGGGATGTGCGTGGCTTCGGATTTTTTTCTTTCCTTTTTTTTTTTTTTTTTGAGATAGGGTCTTGCTCTATTGCCCCAGGCTGGAGTACACTGGCATGATCATAGCCTTGACCTCTCAGGCTCAAGTGATCCTCCCAAGGGGCTAGAACTACAGATATGCGCCACCACGCCCAGCTAACTTTTATTTTTTTGTAGAGACAGGGGTCTCACTATGTTGCCTAGGCTGGTCTCCAAGTCCTGGGTTCACGCAATCCTTCTACCCTGGCCTCCCAAAGTGCTGGGATTACAGGTGTGAGCCACCTAACCTGGTCATATACATTTAAAGGGACCTTGGACGCACTCATTTCTTTAGCAGCAAAGGATGGCACAAAATTATAGGAAAGCTACTTGGCAAAATGTTTAAGAAATCTTTCAAAGATGCTCTTTTAGCCAATAATGAGCCACACAGAATTTTCTTCTAAGGAAACAATCTAAAAGGGAAAGAAAATGCTCAGAGATTTCCCCACAGCTTACTTTGCCAAAATGAAACGTTGGGAACAGGCAAGGTGCAGTGGTCATGCCTATAATCCCAGCACTCTGGGTGGCTGAGACATGAGGATCACTTGAGGCCAGGCGTTCACGACCAACCTGAGCCACATAGAAAGACCCCATCTTTACAGAAAAACTAAAAAAATAAAAAATTAGCTAGGTGTGGTAGCAGGCACCTGTAGTCCTAGCTACTCAGGAAGCTGAGGTGGTAGGATAACTTGAGCCCAGGAGTTCGAGGTTGCAGTGAGCTATAATCGTGCCACTGCACTCCAGCCTGCATGTCAGAACGAGACTCTGTCTCTAAAAAAGAAATGTTGGAAACCTCCTCCTCTAAGGAAAATACAGAAATGGTGGCCAAGTCAAGGAAAGTATTTCACCTCTACATGATGCATCCTCTTAATAAAGGACCACAGGGCATTATGAAGACCATGGAGCACAATGGAAAAATGCTTACAACACAGAGTTGAATATGAAAGTATCTTTGCTAATATTACAAGGATCTAAAAAAAAGATGCCAAGGACAGAAGGAAACAGAAAAAACTGAAAACAGCTGGTAGACACTATTCTGGTAACAAGAATATGGTGATTCTTCACCCAACTCCCCTTTTCTGTATATTCTGTTTTTAAAATATCAGGGGAAAAGGGGAAGCATGAACACGGCTAAGAGCCATTAAACATTTATCTTAAACACAACAAACAGTCTAAATCTGACATGACCCAATTATCATCATAACGTTCAATCAAGCACAGAACAGCTTTCAACCTAATACTCAGGGTAATCAAAGTCCTTGAAATGTAATGAGATGAATCTGCAGAGCTGACGCAATGAAAATCTAACAAAAGTAGGCTGGCGCCATGGCTCATGCCTGTAATCCCAGCACTCTGGGAGGCCCAGGTCGGGGGATCATGTAGTCAAGAGATTGAGACCAGCCTGGCCAACATGGTGAAACCACATCTCTACCAAAAATACAAAAATTACCCGGGCGTGGTGGTGCACGCCTATTGTCCCAGCTACTCGGGAAGCTGAGGCAGGAGAATCACTTGAACCCAAGAGGCGGAGGTTGCAGTGAGTTGAGATTGCACCACCGCACTCCAGCCTGGCAACAGAGCGAGACTCCGTGTCATTAAAAAAAAAATAAAAAAGTCTAACCTAAGTAATCTTTAATTTTATTAGGTTGGGAAAGGAAGGAACATCCGTTAAATGATGTATACTGACTGAGACACTGCCTCAGGGGAGTGACGTGATCCTTGGAGAACACACGCTGATTGAGCCTGCTTCCACACACTAAGGAGCTGTCCAGAAATCCAGACTGATTGTGAAATCTCATTTTTACTTGTTTTGGTTTGAGACAGGGTCTCACTGTCACCCAGGATGGAGTGCATAGCTCACTATAGCCTCAACCTTCCAGGCCCAATTGATCCTCTTACCTCAGCCTCCTGAGTAGCTGGGACCACAGGCCCATACCACCACAGCCAGGTAACTTTTTATTTTTTGTAGACGGGGTCTTGCTATGTTGCCCAGGCTGGTCTCAAACTCCTGAGCTCAAGTTATCTTCCCATTTTGGGCTCCCAAAGTGGTAGGGTTACAGATTACAGACAAGAGCCACAGCACCTGGCCTCCTCATTTTTAAATACTAGCAACAAATTGAGTTTTGGAAAACTTACTGTGAGGACAAACAAAACATCTGTAGGCTGGACACGACCTGAGGGCTGCCAAAGGAATGCCTTAAATACCCTAGAGGATGTATTGACCTTTGGAGTCAAGGGGCCATCAGAAAAATTCCATCTAAGGACGTGAGGGTAAGTATGAGAGACAGGAGGAACTCTGAGCAATTCCCATTCCATCTGAGGAGACAGCTAGCACCTGCATGGAAGTATAGGAAGAGAGAGGATCTCTGACTAACACCCATTCCATCTGAAGCCGGCCTTCTTACTACTGCAGGAACTATGGGGGGCTAGGAGGAACTCTGAGCAATTCCATTCTGTCTGAGAGAACAGCTAGCACCTGCGTGGAGACTGATGCATGCAGCCCCATGACCCTTGCTCCTGCCTCAAACTCTGAGCAATTCCCATTCCATCTGAGGAGACAGCTAGCACCTGCGTGGAACTGAACTGCATGCAGCCCCATGACCTCGCTCCTGCCTCACAACTCTGAGATGGCATTTTGTTCCATTTTGCAGATGAGTCATTTGAGGCTCTTGGAATGTGGTGTTTGCACAATAAGAATAATAAACTCCCCTTTTTATCTTCCTCAGGCCAGCAGCTCAGGTACAGACACACACCATCTGTGACAAAGCAGCTTTCCGGGCATTTCCTCAGGCCAGTTTTGGAAGCAGAGGCTCCTGGTGACTGCAGGGCTAAGTGTGATCCTGACTTTGGCTATTGCTATGCTGTGTCAGGGACACCAGTCCTACCTATTGCCTACCCCAGTGCCATGCTGTGGTTTTTTATGAACTAAAAGGCCCAAGCCAACAACATCTCTTTAAAAACCTTTGTGTTGATTCAGTGCTGAAATCTCTTCATGCTGAAACCCACCTCTGACCCACCCAGGTAGCTCTGTTACCTGGCCACAAAGCTGGCAGTCTTGTCAACAATATTTCTGACCTCTGGAGGAGGGTAAATAATCCCCACAACTGGCTTAGAAGGTGCAGAATCCTCCTTTGAAGATGCTTCTTCTTCTGTGGGCTGTGAAAACAGGAAAAGAAACAAGGTTTTAAAGTCCCTGGTTCAGAGCAGGTTCTCCACTATTACACTCCTCTAGGATATCATTCAGAGTAGACTTTCACTTACAGACTTCCCTCAGGTTAGAACCCTCTGCTTCAGAAAAGCAGTTCTCTTAAGTTCACTGCACCTGCGGGGGCTGCTCCTGGGGACCCAGGGAAAACAGCCGCTTCCCTGGCTCCTCTCTAGTTGGACTGTCTCAGTGACACCAGGAATCTGCATTTTTACCAAATGCCCAGGTGATTCAGATGCAGGGACTCCGACTACATTCTGAGAAACCATGTTCCAGAATCCAGGCCATGTCTGGACTCCACGCACCCAGCGATGGGCTTGGCATGTAATTTTTAATGATTGTTTGCTGAATAAAGAAATGGGAAACTATTTGCTGACAAATTCTTCTGCCCTGGATGCCCTCGCTCTTTGCCTCTACTCCACTGTCAACCAACATTCAATGCTCAGGTGTTTTGTGAAATTCCACTGGAATGTTCAGCATTAACTATGCCATAAGTACCAATATTTTTTCTCCAGCAGCTTCTTCCCCTTAGTAAACAAAGGGTCAAATCTCTTATCTCAGAAAAATGAAGTTTCTCCTCTGCCTCCATGTTCCTTTCTGCCGCTGCCTTCTCCCGCCCCATCCTCTGGCAGCTTAACATCCTGAGTTCTCTTCAGTTTGCTGATCCCACTTCCCTGCGTCCCATTTGGTCCCCATTCATTTTAAGTGCTCTTGACAAAGTCAAAAACGACTGCCTACAGCCATTATCTGGGTGTGAATAGTGACCACTCCTTCACGAAAACTCTCAACTCCTAGACCCCATTCTTACCTGTCTTCCCATCTTGCTCACCATTCCATCCAAGTTTCCTTCCTGGCCTGTTTCACCTCCTGCTCTGTGAAGTTGGAGATCCCCGCTCCCACCGCCCAATTCTGTTCTTGGTTCTCTTCTCAGTTTTGACAGTGTCCTCCATTTCGCCTCCCGCCTCTATACAATCTGGCCCAAACTGATGTCCCAGAACACTCTTGCGAACTGAACAGCTTCGGGTCCAGCTAACTACTGGGCACTTTCATCTCTAACCTCTTTCCTCAGGAATAGCTACTCAGTCGTCCATGCCACAAAGTTGGGGCTCCTCTCTCTTCCTCAGCTTCCACACTCAATGATAATAACATTTATCAAGTTGGGCACAATGGCTTGCACCTATAATCCCAGTGAGTCAGGAGGCTGAGGTAGGAGGATTGCTTGAGCCCAGGAATTCAAGGCTTCAGTAAGTTACGACTGCACCACCGCATTCCAGCCTGGGTGACAGAACGACACCCAGTCTCTTAAAAAAAACTTTTATCAAGCACTGAGTAGATTCCAGGTATTTTTCCCAAGCACTTTAAATATACTAATTCTTATAACCCTTATAAGAAGCCTATAAGATTAAGTACTCTTTTTTTTTTTGAGACTCTCTCTTGCTGTCGCCCAGGCTGGAGTGCAGTGGCATGATCTTGGCTCACTGCAACCTCCGCTTCCCAGGTTCAAGTAATTCTCTCCCGAATAGTGGGGATTACAAACATGCACCACACCTGGCTAATTTTTTTTTACTTTTAGTAGAGACAGGGTTTTGGCATGTTGGCCAGGCTGGTCTCAAACTCCTGACCTTGTCAAGTGATCTGTCTGCTTCAGTCTCCCAAAGTGCTGGAATTACAGGCGTGAGCCACTGGGCCGGCCAAGTACTCTTAATATCTCCACATTACAGATGGCAAAACTGAGAGATGGAGAGCTTAATGTCCAACTGGCAGAACCAGAATTCTAACACACCACTCTGGCTGGAAAGCCTGCCCACCCCTCTGCCCTAATCTAGGCCAGGCCTTCAGCCCCTTGGAATAGCGTGACTGGCCTCCCCTCCTCGTAGTGACTCTCCACATCCCTGCCTACCTGAATTTCTGAAACACAAATGTCACTATTTGGCTTAAAACCCTCCCTTTTCTTCCCATTGTCTACAACGAAAAGTTCAAATCCTAAGAAAGAATCGCATCTCCTGCCACCACGCTCTATGCTTCAACACTTGTTCATTTACTCTTGATCAGAGACACCGTTTGATTCTTAACTCTGTGTCTTTGTGCATATTATCTGTCCATTACCTTATTTTCTCCCAACGCCTGGGAAAATGCCAGGGACACATAGGTACTTAAATATCTGTGGAAAAGGCATGGCTTCTTCAGTCATGTCCCCCTTATTCCGAACCCAAAGCAATGATCAGCATATATGCTCAATAAATATTTGCTGGATGAATAAAGGATGTTATTTCCCTTCCCTAGTCACCTGCCTGGCAAACTCCTATTCCTTCTTCTAAAAGAAATTTACCTCTCACTCCCGTGGGTTTCCCTACCTTAATATCCCTTCTACCCCAGCAAGCAATGTTGATTAGATTTGTACCTGAAACTTCTATCACAGGGCATATCACACCGTACTACAATGGTTTATACACATTTGAGATTCGAGAGGTTTATTAAGGGCGGGCTGACACTGTATCATTGACGGCCATCGGAACAATAAACATTTGGTGAGCATTCTCGTGTATCTGTCTTCTCGTTAGCCTGTGAGCTCCCCGTGCCCCATTCATTCCGGTAACGTGGGAGCGTGGCACGGTGTCTGGCTTGGGGCAGACACCGAAATAGATGCTGAGAATTAACATCCAAAGATGTACCGCCCAGGCTGGGAAATTGGGCATTACTGGGGAAAGGCTGGGGCCGGTGGCCCCAACTGCCACAGAAGATCACAGGATGGGCTAGATCAGCGCCTCTCACACTTACAAATCAATCACCTTAGGATTTTGTTCAAATGTAAGATCCCTATTTAAAAGGTCTAGGGCGGAGACTCCACATTTCTAAGCTCCCGGCTCGTGCCGACGCGGCTGCTCCGCGGACCACTTTGAGAACCCCGTTCAGGGCAGCTGGTTTCGTTACCAGAACCACCACCACTGCGCGGGAAGCGCGCAGCCTCCTGGGACTTGCAGTCCCTCCAAGCCCTTCATAGCGGCCGCTTATTCCCGCTCAAGTAAGTAGCACCCAGGCCCACGCTCCGGCTGCAGGTTGAGGGGCGGGGGAGAGGTACCTGTTTCGGCTCGGTGGCCACGGGCGGCGGCGGGGGCACCGCCTGCACGGGTCCGGCCGGCATGACTGCGACGCTGAGGGCTGCCAGTCCGCCTCGGTGTCGGTGAGGAGTGCCGCCTCAAGACAGCCTCCCCGCTCGAACAGTACGACGAGCTCGCAAAATGGCGGCAGCCGAGCGAGTTGTGGCCGCGAAGGTAAGACTGACGCACTTCCGGGACCGCCCCCTCGCCGTGGCGCGCTTCCTGCTCCTCCCCGTGGGCACCGCGGCGTCCGACGCCGTTGTCAAGGCAGCGGCTGGAGCGCCGGGCTAGGGGTTTCCGGGGTTCCCGGGAGCCGCAGGCGCGCCGGGGGCAGTTCCCGGAGCCGACCGGATACAGAGGCTGAAACCGCGACGCCGAAGACAGGTGAGATGTTCTACGTCACCCGCCGGACCCCCGCCGCACTCAGCTCGCGCCTCCTTTACTCTACAGTGCCTCGCTCAGTGCCAGTGCCTCGCTCCCTTCGACACCGCCTTCCAAGCGCTCCCTTCCATTGGCCTCTCATTTCGGAGAGCCCCTGTGCCCTCAGGTTCGCCGCCTCAGAGCCCTGCTTCCCTACTCCCTTAGTCCCCCCTTTCATTTCAGGCCCACATCCTCCAAGCCGCTCTTCCAAATCCTACGCCCTTAATTCCCTTTTCCCATAGGCCTGCCTTTTCTTGCTTCCACCCCCTGCCTTCCGTAGTCCCGATCTCAAGCCCCACTGGGGCCTCCCTCTCAAATCAAGGCTCCTGCTTTTTCTTTCTTTTTTGTTTTTTTCTGAGACAAGGTCTTGTTCTGTCACCCAGGCTGGAGTGCAGTGGCGCGATCTTGGCTCACTGGAACCTCCGCCTCCCGAGTTCAATCGCTGAGTTCAAGCAATTGTCCTGCCTCAGCCTCCCGAGTGGCTGGGACTACAGGCGCCCACCACATCCGGCCGTGTGTGTGTGTGTGTGTGTGTGTGTGTTTTGTAGAGACGGCGTTTCACCACGTTGGCCAGGCTGGTCTCGAACTCTGACCTCAAATGATCCTCCTGCCTCGGCTTCCCAAAGTGTTAGGGTTACAGGCGTGAGCCACCGCGCCCGGCCAGTTTTAAAATTTTTTTTGTAGGGACGTGAGAGGACGTCTCCCTATGTTGCCCAGGCTGGTCTCAAACTCATGGAGTCAAGCAATCCTCCCACCTGGCCTCCCAAAGTGCTGGGGTTACACGCATGAGCCATCACTCTGGGCTGCTGCTTTAGGCTTCACCCCTCACTCTCACAGGTGCGCCCCTGCAAGCTATGCAGCTCGCTCCCCAGAGGCCTACCTCGACTCCTGCCGGCTTTCTCTCCTTCTCCTGAGATCCCCCTCCCCGCCTTCCTCCCCTCCTCAACTCCGGAAAGCCAGGAGCTGGCTGGGAACCTGTGCCTGGCTTTCAGTTTCCTCACCTGTGAAATGAGGGAGTGATAGGAAAGGTTGCTCTCTCAAGTCTTCCCCCTCCCCCGCACACATGGTAGCTGTGTGTCATGGTTGTTATTAATGTAGAATAATGATAGCTAGGATGTATTGGTCATTTACTATGAGCCGGATCCTGTGCCCAACACTTCATGTATTACGTTATTTATTCCTTATAGCACCCTATTTACAAATGAGGACAGTGAAGTTTGGAGTTGGTAGAGTGGGAATGCAAGCTCAAGCCAGTCTTATTCCTCTACTAATGCAGTTAGTTACTCTTTTGTTCTCAGTCCCTTCAGCGTCCCCAGGGATCCAGGCAATTAACAATCTCATGTTTGAGACTGACATCTGCCACATAGCTGGTTTTAGAGTTTCCCATGTTTTCGTGGTGGTGACTTTGAATCTCAGCAGTCACCCTGACTGGGAAGTAGGCGTCATTTTTACCAGTAGGTTAGGGTACTAGGTCTCAGAGAAGGCGCTGGAATGTTGAACGGAAGTGTAGGAAAGGCTCCTGCTCTTCTCTGGGAGTCAAAAGTCCGCCTTGAGCCCCAGGAAATTGAGGAGAGGCAGAGATAGCTGCTGCTGCTTCCTAAGGGTTCAATTAGTGCAGTCACCTATATGTTCCTGGGTACAGTGCAGGGCTGGCAGCCTCAGACTGAGGGTTCCACTCAAGAGCGAGGAATTACAGAGAGCTCATGTCAAGTGCTTTTTCACTTGACATGCACGTAAGTACTTCTTTTTTTTCTTTCTTTTTTTTTTTTTTTTTTTGAGACAGAGTCTTGCTCTGTCACCCAGGCTGGAGTGCTGGAGTGCAGTGGCACAATCTCTGCTCACTGCAAGCTCCGCCTCCTGGGTTCACGCCATTCTCCTGCCTCAGCCTCCCAAGTAGCTGGGACTACAGGCGCCTGCCACTATGCCCGGCTAATTTTTTGTATTTTTTAGTAGAGACGGGGTTTCACTGTGTTAGCCAGGATGGTCTCGATCTCCTGACCTCATGATCCACCCGCCTCGGCCTCCCAGAGTGCTGGGATTACAGGCGTGAGCCATCACACCCGGCCGCTCGTAAGTACTTCTTAAACCATGCTTGTATCTGCATGACTTGAATTTTCAGAAGAAGCAACATAAGGTCATCTTGGATTTTCCTGAAACTTGGGCATTTGCTGCTGCTTATCTGAACCAGGATCTAGTGGGAGTTGATATCCAAAATTGCCCCATAGGGCAGCTGTAGTTATTTGAAGGTGAACAGATCAGTGTTTCCTGGTGCCTTCACAAGCACACTTATGAATTCCAGGTGCTTTGCCACCTGAATACACTTCCTCCCAGGTTGGGACTTCTTGATTGCTTTATTTCCTTCATGCTCTTTTCAGGAAGGAAACCCAGAATACTTCCATGTGTTATTTTGCCTTTGTTTCTGCCTCCCTCCTTGGAGACATAAAATCTCTTGGGCAGCAGTAGTTCATGAGAGGCAGCTGCCAAGACAACAGGAGTGTGGGATGTGGGCATGTGTATAGTGAATGTCATGGGGCAGACACATATCACTTGGGTGATATCCCATGGGTGAAACTGGCACATACAAGCTTACCCCTTGCAGAGACCCTCAGATATCGTTGGTAGTTCCTGGAGGACAGGGCTCCTTATGCCCTGATGTGTTCCTGGTCTTGCTATAGTGCCTGGCATGGAATAGATACTCAGTCCTCATTTACTGAATGCACACACAGCATCCGACCCTCTGCACCATCCAGTACAGTACCTACCAGCTGATACGGCTTTTGAACATTTGAAATGGTTTCTGGTTCAAATGGCCATGTGTTGTCAAACAGGCATTAGATTTTGAGACTTAATACCATAAAAATGTTAAAATCTCCTTAATAATTTTATATTGGTATGTTGAAATGGTAATGTTTTGGGTATATTGGGTTAAATAAAATATACTATTAAAATTAATTGACTCTTTTTTTACTCTTTTTAATGTGTAGGGGAGAACAAGTAATATCTTTTCCTCACTCATTGCAAGTTTAATAAAAGACGGATTAAAGTGGCTCACGCCTATAATCCCAGCATTTTGAGAGGACAAGGCCAGAGGCCAGGAGGCCAGGACCAGCCTAGGCAACATAGCAAGTCTCTGTCTTTACAAAAAATAAAAAAATTAATCAGGTGTGGTGGCACCCACCTGTAGTCCTACCTACTCAGGAGGCTGAGGTGGGAGGATCACTTGAGCCCAGGAGTTCAAGGTTACAGTGAGCTATGATAGCACCACTGTACTCCACCCTGAGCGACAGAGTGAGACCCTGTCTCTAAAAAATAAATAAATGAAGTAAAATTTTAAAAACAGATTAACAAGAGAAAAGCATACAAATGTATTTTATAAAAGTTTTCCCTGACATGGAAACCTTCAGAAATGAAAACCCAAAGAAACAAGGAGATCTGTTTTTATAGACAGTGTGCAGAATTATGATTGGTGGACCAAAAGGTATGATCTGGAGGGGCACGGTAGTTCACACCTGTAAACATAGCACTTTGGGAGGCCAAGGAGGGTGGATCACCGGAGGTCAGGAGTTGGAGACCAGCCTGACCAATATGGTGAAACACCGTCTCTACTAAAAATACAAAAAGTGGCTGGGTGCGGTGGCTCACACCTGTAATCCCAGCATTTTGGGAGGCTGAGGCAGGCGGATCATGAGGTCAGGAGTTTGAGACTAGCCTGGCCAACGTAGTGAAACCCCATCTCTACTGAAAATACAAAAATTTGCCAGCTGTGGTGGCACATGCCTGTAAGTCCCAGCTACTCAGGAGGCTGAGGCAGGAGAATCACTTGAACCCAGGAGGTGGAGGTTGTGGTGAGCCAAGATCACGCCACTGCACTCCAGCCTGGGCAACAGAGCGAGATTCTGTTTCAAAAAAATAATAAATAAAATTAAAAATAAAAAAAAATAATGAAAGGCTGGGCACGGTGGCTTACGCCTAATCCCAGCACTTTGGGAGGCCAAGGTGGGTGGATTATGAGGTCGGGAGTTCAAGACCAACCTGGCCAACATGGTGAAACCCCATCTCTACTAAAAATACAAAATTTAGCCAGGCGTGGTGGCACACCCCTGTAATCCCAGCTACTTGGAAGGCTGAGGCCGGAGAACTGCTTGAGCCCAGGAGGCAGAGGTTGCAGTGAGCCGAGATCATGCCACTGCACTCCAGCCTGGCCGACAGAGCGAGACTCTGTCTTAAAATAATAATAATACAAAAATTAGCCGGGCATGGTGGCGTGCACCTGTAGTCCCAATTATTCAGGAGGCTGAGACAGGAGAATTGCTTGAACCCAAGAGGCGGAGGTTGTGGTGAGCTGAGATTGCGCCACTGCACTCCAGCCTGGGTGACAGAGCAAGACTCCATCTTAAAAAAAAAAAAGTATGATCTAATAGTAATAAATGAGGGAGGGCGTGGATTTAGCAAGGCCTGTTTGCTCAGATTCTTCTTGGTGTTCCTGTGTGACATTTCTCCCCATCTGGGTATAGGGCAGGACACCTGTCACATGAGGGTCTTCAGGGGAGAAGGAGGGGAGAGGTCACAGACTGACCTTTCTGGTGGCCTGCTTCAGAGAAGAATGATGAGGGGAAGATGAGAGTGGCCTTCCTGCTTCTGCAGTTTTTTGCATTTCTAAGGTGCCATATCTTGGGGTAGCATTTCCTGTACCCCATCAGTGGCTAGTAGAAAAACCTAAAATCCCATGTGTGGCTTGTATTATATTTCTTTTAGACACTGCTGCTCTAGAAGT